CCTGGGAATGATTTTTGGCCATGCCCAGTTCTCCAGAAAGAAGGAAGGGTGGGGGAGAGATTTTTAGGCCAGCCAGTCTCCTGTGCTTTTCAGAACCCCCAATTCTCCTGCACCTCCTTATCCAGGATCTGACCTTCCTCCAGTTCTAACTCCTTAACACCGCCCTCCTCACTCACCCCCCCATCAAGGTCAAATGATGTGACACTAGCCCAGCTTATCACGCTGAAAGGTGTGCAGAAACGCTGCAGGTAAAAGGTGGAAGAGGTCAGGAAGGTGGAAAGGAAAAGGGTTTATCATCAGGACCAGCATCTGTGTCAGAGGCTGACGCCCAGCTGTTATCTCTCCTCACCCAGGCGGCATGGCTGGAACCCACTGCCTGTGCACACACAGCCTTTAGCACAGAGGAGGGAAAACGCACCCCCCCCCCAAAAAAGACACACACACAGCTGGCATTGCTACCCTGCGATGCCTAGGGAAGCACTGCACCAAATCTGAGATCTCAGCAGGGCGAGCGAAAGACTACAAAAGGGGAAAGGTGTGTGTGTAAAAAGGTGGGAGGGGATGTCCACTCTCTTAACCCCCCCTCCCAAAAAAAGAGATCACGATGGAGGAGTTTAAGGGGAGGGGGTGCAACCCCCGAATTTTGGGGTTTGGCTGCCTGTTCCTCCTGGAAATTCACCAAGCAGGAGTGGGTTTGTGGGTTGTTGTTTTTTTCGGGTGGTGGGGCTGGGGAGATTCTATGTGGCTGCTAAAAGGGTAGAGATAAGGCGAGCGGATAGGCGGCAGTACTATTATAGTGGCAGTCCTATTAGACACAAACACACACACACACCCGGTCGAGGAAGGGAGAACAGCGCTGGCGGGCACAATCACACACAGCCACTCATCACCGAGGCAAGGCTGGATGGGATCACACTACGCCGCTACACGCTGAGCACTGCGGGAGGAGCGCCGGGCTCGCTCGCTCGCTCCTTCATTGATTTGCCACAAGTATAGAGCGGGTGATGGGCTGGAGTAAGGAGGGAAGAAACCGGAGGTTGGTTGTTAGTGGGGGGAGGAAGAAGGGAGGAAGGAGAGAAAGAGAGAGTGGTGGAGGCAGGAGAAGTTACGAAGAGTGGTGCTAATGGGCTTGAGGTTTTGTCCTCCATTCTCCAGAATCTCCCCATTCAAATAGGGGTATCCTATTTGGAAGCGATATTCCTTTTCGTTATCCTCACACGCGCACACGTATTTTCCAACAAGCAGCAGCCAAACACGCCTTCCTAGGAGAGAGGAGGGGGGATCGGGTAGATCTATAGATGTACTGGGTCGGTTTGAGGGGGGGAGCACGCCCTCCCCCCCTTTTGGTCCGCACAGTGACAGCACACACACACACCACAAATGGGGGCGACTGGAGGGGACATGTAAGCGCAACGGAAAGACGAGACACACGGATCGCGAGGTAGAGAGAGAGAAAAGATCTTGCCCCCTCTTCCCCCCCCACCAAAAAAATACCGTTTTAAAAAATAAAAAATCCATCCCATATTAAGATTTCCACTCACCGGGGAAACACACCACGTAATGGAGCACAGAGACGGTGATTTTCAAGAAAAAGATCCAGCAACACGGTTGCAGTAGCCTCCGCATCTCCAAAGCCGCACATCGAAACAAACAGAAGGGGGTTCTCTCTTTAAGTATATTTTTAAAAATTCAGAAGGATGAGGATTCCACGTACACCAGAAAAAGTAATAATAATGTGTGTGAGAGAGAGATAGAGAAGGTGCGGGGGTGGGAAACTTGTTGAAAATAGTATTTTTTGAAAAAGTTGCACACTTTCCTGCCCCGTCTCTGGAACAAAAAAAAGAGCGGGGGAGGGTGGGGGTCAACCCGAAAAAGAAAAAGAGGGAAGCCGGAGCGATGGACCAACCCCCCCGCCCCTCACTATTAAAAATAATAATAGCAAATTGGCGCGCGCGCGCAGCCTCTTCCTTTCCGTCTTCTCTGCCCTGAATTTGTGCCTCTGGATGTGTGCAAAGATAAAAGAGTCCCGGAGTTCAGCAGACCCGCCGCTCCAGGCCTCGGGAGCAAATGCTGGCAGCAGGGTGAGGAGGCGGAGGGACGGGACTCGGGAGCCGAGAGCTCACAACTTCCCTCCAGCCCGCAAAAACAGCAGCAGCAGCAGCGCCGGCGCCGGGGATCGGTGGCTAGCGAGCGCCTCGGCTGGGCTCGGACTCTCTCCTCTCGCCTTCATGCGGGCAGCACCGTGCAAGGCCAAAGGGAAGGAGGCATTCTTGCAAACAGCAGTCGGAGCAGCGGCGGCGGCGGCGATAGTAGCAAAATCCACTCCCCAGCCCCAGCGATCGAGGGCTTGCAACAGCAGCAGCAGCGGCGGCGAAGAGTCGGGCTGCCCGGAGCAGCTCTCAGTCCATCCCGCTGCTAGAAGTTGGGGCTCCGGAGCAAGCTGGCGAGGAACAGTCAGGCAGGAGCTGCTGGAAGCTTTCCATTCTTCCATACAGGAAGTAACATGTGAGCCTAGATCCTGGCTGAGACTTTAAAGCGGAGAGGGAGAGGGAGCGGAAGGGAGAGAGAGAGAGAGAGAGAGAGAGAGAGGAGAGGAGAGGCGGGGGCGCGCAGGGGAGGAGGGGGGAAAGGGGGGGTCTCGGCTTGGCGCGCACTCGAGGCTCTTAAAGCGGCAGCGCCCGCTCGCCTCGCTCTCGTCTCCAGTTCTGCCCGCGAGCCGGAGGAGGGAAAGGGAAGGCAGAGCGCGCGCGCGTGTGAATGAATGGGTGCATTTTGGGGAGAGACCTTCTTATGCTTGTATGGAGACACGCCGTTTCCTTGCACGCGCACGTCTCCACTGTGCACATTCATTCACACACACACACACACACACCCAGCAAGCGATCCTCTTCTTGTGGGAAGGGAAATCCTGGAGGGATTTCGTTTCCACGTTCGCGCACGCGTTTCGCCAAGCTCTCCAGCACGCCTCTCTGCGAGCGAGGGACGTTTCTTGCAGCCACCGTCGTTGACGCCTCTCTCGCCCTTGCCAGACGTGCAGGCAGTGTCCGGGGACGAGGCAGGCAGCGGCACACGCCTGCAAGAACTTCTCTCACTCTCCTCTTCGGTGGATTCCTACACGTGTCCTTGCACGCACGTGCGCACACAGCGCTTGCGCGTTCGCACAGTTGCCACACGCTGGACGGCTTCGCACACTCGCATCCCGCGCTGGAGACACAAAGGGGATATTCTCATTCGCGGTATTTCGAGAGATCAAGCCAAGACCAGCGAATATATTGCACAATATTCCGTGCACCACGAAGATGACGCTGTTCGAATGTGGAACGGACTCCCACGAGAGGCAGTGGACTCTACTTCCTTGGAGGTTTTTAACCAGAGGTTGGATGTACCACCCGTCACGTATGATCTAGCGGGAGATTCCTGAATTGCAAGGGGTTGGACTAGATGACCCTCGGGGATCCCTCCCAACTCTACAATTCTGTGATACTCTTCCACAGTTATATACATTCATTTTGTTTCTCGTGCAACCACCCACCATTCAGAAAAAGGGAAATCTTTCTCCCCGCTTCGGTCCAAATACACACAATCTTTCTACCTCGCGGACACATACGAGTACTGTATTCCCACTCTCACGCGTGCACACGCAGTCGCCGCTTTGTGCTGAACGCTCCACGCATTACTTACACACATACACCCTCCCACGCACTTCCAGGCACACACTCTTTCACACACAGAAATATTTTCCCCTATGCTCTTTCTTCCTTCCACACACACACACACACACACACACACACACACACACACACTCTCTCTCACTCCCTGCACTCATGCACACACACAAACAAACTATTTTCATGTACACATCCCCGCTGGATGCATATAACCATACTCATTCGCACGCTCCTCGTCACACACACTTGCTGTAATGGACGGGGTAGCAAATATCAAGCAAATATTGAACGCGCTCCCTCTTACACATGACAGACAGACACACACATACACACACACAGAGAGAGAGTCTTTCTGCATGGCAAAAGCCTGCGGAATCATCCCCCAGCCCCTTTTGCAAAATCAGGCCGGCTGCATATTTTTTCAATTTCCTGACAGCAGGGGGACTTAAAGCAATATCGATCCATTTAGCACCGGGGTCTTTTCTAACAAGTGCAATACAATAGCTAGCACCTGGATGTGTTTTTACTAAACAGTTCTAATCCGATCGAGCATCATAAAATAATGCAGACATATGCGTCTGTGTGGGGGTGGGTGGGTTTATTTTTTAAGTCAGATCCACAACATTTTTGGAAGATCCCAGCATTGCGATATGAGCAGTGGCGGAGAGGTTAAAAGGAACCTTATAGCTGTGATCAGAACGAAGCAGAGCCCAGAGGCTAGGCTGATCTCTGGAAAGATAGGAGGGAGCGATTTCCTTTTTAGCCCATGCGTTTAAATAAAAAGCAATCCGGGAGAGGCGTTCTGGAGGAAATGCCTTATCTGTAATGAGTTTTGTCCCTTCCTTTAGACTGGGAGATTTTATCGAGTTTTAGTTATAAGCAGCGCAGTATTTTGCCTTTATGCTGCTCCTAACTAGTGCCTGGGAGCTGAGACTCCCTCCCACCCCTGCCGGATAAAATGTATAATTGAGTCAAGATAATTTGGCATTTGTAATTTTTCTTTAAAAGACAAAAAAACCACATCCCACACTTATCTAAATTGTATCTCTTTGAAGCTACTTGTACATACCACCTTCGATACACGCCGGTGTATTGTTTTTGTTATTATTATTATTTATTTATTTTAAATGCAAAATTATTATATGCAATGCAGCTGCAAGCAAGTGTGCAAAAAATAAAACAAAACTGAAAACCTGGAGTTTTGAGAGTTCCAAATGTATTCTGAGCATTTCTATAACTTCATACAGAACATTATGCATATGGCTGGCCAATGTGTCTCTCTCCCCAACCCCCCATGCATTTTTGGTAAAGCAAATTATTCAAGGGTGGGTAGGAACCATAGCTCAGGGATAGGACACCTGCTTTGCATGCAGAAGGTCGCAGGTTCAATCCCTGGTATCTCCAGGTAGGGCTGGGAATGTCTCCTGCCAGGTCTCACTCAGTCTAAGGCTCCTAACCCGCAACCTGGGTAATTTGTCAAATGTAGAATATGGATAAGGTGTGTTGATGCAGGGCTGCTTTGCAAGCATATGAATATCATCACTATTATTGTTCAGGTTTGTTATTATTCTTGCCTGCCCTTCACCATGATGCCCCAGAGCAAGTTACAACAATGCAAAATGCGGCATTACAATCAGAACAATTGAAAACAATATGCTTCTTTACTCAGAAACAACCTCTCATATGTACTCTGTGGAATGTACTGCTCCCATTCACTTACACCCAACTTATATCCACTTAAAACCCATCTGAACTGAATGGCGCTTGCCTTGTGAGTAAACAGGTCTACGATTGAAATGTTGCTTAAAAAAATAAAAAGGCATGCCATTCTGAAAAGAAATGATTTGCCCTCCACCCCACCCCCCCCAAAAAAATGCTATGGGAAAGGACTTTTGTATTAATATTCTGGTGCCTTTTAATTCTGGGTTCACCTGTGCCTCCAACAGAGAGTTACAGATAGCTCATTTGTTAGAATGTGAGACTCTTAATCTCGGGCTTATGGGTTCAAGCCCCATGTTGGGCAAAAGATTCCTGCTACATGACCCTTGTGCCCCTTACAACTCTACAATTCTAAGATTCGATGAAATTCTCAGAGATCCCTGGAAAGAGGGATTGACTGCGAAACCACTCTGAGAAATGTTGCTCTATGAGGTGAATAAGGGTCTCCTAACAACTCTCAACACCCTTAACAGCTCCAAGGCTCTTTTGGCAGGGAGCTGTGGCTATGTGAAGTGGTATGGTACTGCTTGCGAGAGGCAGAGAAAGGAGGAGTAATTTTGCGTATGCACAAAGATAACTTGAGGAGCTCAGAGACAAGGCAACACTGCAACCAGCTTTTGTCAGCCAAATATGTGTTCATTTTACCTAGTACAGTGACACCTTGGAAGTTGAACAGAATCCGTTCTGGAAGTCCAAAGCGTTCGGAAACCAAAGCATGGCTTCTGATTGGCTGCAGGAAGCCCCGTTGGATGTTCGGCTTGCAAAAATAGTTCGCAAACCAGAACAGTCACTTCTGGGTTTGTGGCGTTCAGGAGTCAAAATGTTCGGGAACTAAGCTGTTCCAAAACCGAGGTACGACTATTTGACCAATAAGCTGACATTACCTGGAAGAGGAGGAACAGCATGGTAGCAAGGTCAGAGCTGTGTGGGCACACTAGGTTGGGTCTGACAGTGCACTTGTGCAGCCCAGACCTCACCACTGGCCTGCCCCTCACCCAGGTAAGCTGCAGTGATACTGCCAAGAGAGCAAGTCTGCCCTACTACATGGGCTGCAACTGTTGCTCCCTTGATGCAAACCATTCCAGCTTCACTAAATATCGTATTTTTCGCTCTATAGGATGCACCTTGTTTTAGAGGGGGAGAACAAGGGGAAAAAATTCTCACCCTCTCTGCTCAGCGCGCCTTCAGCGAAGCAGCAGGAGAAACGGAGCCCCTTCCATTTCTCCTCCCGCTTCGCTGAAGGGGCGCTGCGCAGCTCTCCCTCTCTGCTGAAGCCAGGAGAGTCTTGCTCTCCTGGCTTCAGTGAAAGGAACCCGAAGCCTGCGGAGCGCAGTGGGAACTCGTGCTACGCTCCACAGGCATCAGGCGTGCGCACCGACCCCTCTCGCTCTCCAGGCTTCAGCGAAAGCAACGCGAATCCTCCGGAGCGCGGAGGGAGCGCTCCCTCTGCGCTTCGGAGGCTTCGCGTTGCTATCGCTGAAGCCAAGGAGCCTGCATTCACTCTATAGGATGCCCACACATTTCCCCTTAATTTTTGGAGGGGAAAAAGTGCATCCTATAGAGTGAAAAATACGGTAGCTATAAAACCACACTGGTGATGGAAGGAGAAGAGACATGGACCCCTGTCTACCACACACACCATTTCTGTTGGAACTGTGCCTCAGGCGGCTGACTAGCACAAATAATACTTCTAAGGCCATGTTCACACCATGCCTTATGATGCCACCTTAAACAGTTGTGTCTTCTCCACAAAGAATTCTGAGGGCTGTAGTTTTCTGAGGGAGCTGAGAGCTGTTAGGAGGCCCCTATTTTCGTCACTTTCCTCACAAAGTTCCCTATGAAGAGAAACAGTTTGTTGTTCTGGATTGACTGCTAAGGCGCTCTGGGAACTCTAGCTCTGGGTAGGGAATAGAATGTCTCCTAACAGCACCCTTAACAAACTACAGCTCCCAGAATACTTTGGGGGGAAAGCCATGACTGTTTAAAGTGAAACCATAATGCGTTAAATGTATGGTGTGATTGTGGCCCGATTCAATGTAGAAACTACTCCAAAAGGTAATAAAAGTAATTGTTCTGGATTAGCAGTGATCCACGTCCTCAAAATGTGCTTCCTTCACATACCCAATCTATACAGTGGTACCTCAGGTTGAGAACTTAATTCGTTCTGGAGGTCCGTTCTTAACCTGAAACTGTTCTTAACCTGAAGCACCACTTTAGCTAATGGGGCCTCCCGCTGCTGCTGCACCGCCACCGTACAATTTCTGTTCTCATCCTGAAGCAAAATTCTTAACCCGAGGTACTATTTCTGGGTTAGCGGAGTCTGTAACCTGAAGCATCTGTAACCTGTACTTTGTATATGTATTTTCTCCCACAAAATTGTATTTTCAAGGCCAGACAAGCAGACAAAGCTACCATCAAAGCAGCTTCCTGTGTGCTTTTCTCTTGTCCAAAAATTCTGCCTTGGTGTGTAAAAAAAAACCCCAAACAAGTTGGCTGCAGGCAGGGGGAAATGAAATGGCATGTTGGTGACCTGATGCTCCAAATGAGGATATTCCTGTTATGGCTCCAATTAGAGAGGGGAAAAATAAGCAAAGCGGCTAAACTACCTTAAAGTTTATTTTGAAGGCTAGAGGTCACCCCCCTCCCTATTTGTGCTATTTTCTGGAAGCCCAGAGGATAGGAACTGATGGTGTATCCATGTCCTTTATTTGGGAGGGTCCCAACCAACTGTGAGCTGTAGTCCACAATATTTTGATGTTAGCCCCCAATATTTTGATATGTTACGCCCCCAAATAAAGAACAATGAAATGTTTTGTCAGAGGGTCCTCCTTGGTATGTGGTTGGCCACTATGAGAAAAGGATGCTAGATTAGATGGGCCACTGATCTGATCCAGCAAGCTCTTATGTCCTCATGGTTCCCATGTTCCTGAGGTAGGAGTTTGGTAAAGTGTTACTTCTTCCACTGCTGTCCCATTGACAAAAAGCTACCTGGGTTTTTATTCATGAAGTAAGTCAATATGTTGTTGGCATCTGTCTGTCTCATGAGACAATGGAGGAGGGCACCTTTAGAGGTGTAGTCAAACCACTGGAGTTACAGCGCCTGCTGTGGCTGTAGAGACTGATGCGGGAGAGACATGTTTTGTTGCAGCTGGGGCAGATGAGGGCATCCTCTTGTGCTGCTGCAGATGCAACATGGCGTTTCTTCTTTCTGAGCTCCCAGTGGTCATTTCTTCTCTGGTCACTGCTGTTAATATATGATCTGACTTATTGTCTCCAAGCGCTGCGGTCATCTGCAAGGGATTCCCATATAGTAGGGTTAATGATGCGAGCCTTTATGGCACCTTTCCAGACGTCTTTGTAATGCAGAGTCAGTCTGCCAACAGGCTTAGTGCCTAAAGCCAGCTCCCTTTAGAGCATGTTCTTGGGGATCTGCCATCTTCCAGTCTGTGGACATGACCAAGCCGTCTCTGAGAAAGATGTGGGAATGTGGTGGGAATGTGGGCTTGGAAGAGCACATCTTTTTTCGAGGCTCTGTCCTGCCATGTAATGCCCAAAATCTTCCTGACACAGTACATCTGGAAGATGTAGAGGCATTGCTCCTGATGGTTGGAAGTTGCCCACAACTCACTTCCATAAAGCAGGATGCTGAACACACAAGCCTGGTAGACCTTCATCTTGATATTATCGGTCATTAGCATTGCATTCTCCCAAACCCTTTTGGAGAGGTGAGCCATTGCCGTGGCTGCTTTGCCAATATGTCTGTCCAGTTCAGCATCAATGGAAAGGTTGTTGGTTAGGGGGGAGCCCAGGTAGACCAAGTGCTGGCGACATCTTGACCCAGATGTTGGTCTTCATCAGGCTGAACTCCCTGCAGGCTTGGGCAAAATGGTTGCTGAGTCTCTGTAGAGCTTCCTTGAAGTGCACAGCCAAGGTTGCATCATCTGCAAACAACCTGCCACACTTTTGTTTTGGTGTGGAGACATGTCAGGTTGAACAGACCCCCGTCGCTTCTTGAATGGAAGTACTGTACACACTGTCTTCAGTCGAGCTGAAGACATAGGAGAGCAACCGGGGGAAGAATATGCCAGAGAGAGTAGGAGTGAGAACATAACTCTGTTTCACACCACTCTTCATAGGGAAGGAAGGCATCTGAGGATGAACTATCATATTGGACGGTGCCGTGCATGTTCTTGTGGAAGGACACAATCATCTTGTGAAGCTTAGGTGATCATCCTATCTTGCTGAGCAGTGTGAAGAGTCCTTTTGATCCCGCAGATCCATGTAGGGGGCTTTCATACGACACATCCTTCCACTTGATTTCACACCCGCTGCGAGAGACACGACAATGCTTTGTGGGTCTGGGTTCACATTTTGAAACTTCATGCTCCACTTTTGTGGCGCTGCAGCCATCAGAGTTCTTTGGAATGCACCAGCCTCTCCTAGTAGCCCTATTGCAGACAATTCAAAAATAAAACCTCCACAAAACCTAAATTATGCTTAAGCATTGACTACAAAGCAGGATATAAAACCAGGGTTTGAAAAAATGTTTGCAGACCAAGGCTTGCATTAACTGTGATTAAGTGTTATACCTGCATCAAATCTTTCCTCCCGCTTTAACATCTATGAAATATTTCGAAAGGCATAATAGTTAAGAAAGACGTACTTTTGGTGCAGAGGCTCAGAGCAGAGCATGCACAACCCAATTTCCCCTGCAGCCATAGGTCAATCATTATTACATCATTGGCATATATCAGATTGAGATCGGGAATGATGGGAGTCATTTTTCTTTTTGCATTAGCAATTTGGTTGGGTTGAGGAGCCATAAAGATATATGACAGAGGTCTGGCAAATGGAAGCAAACAAGATTAAGCAGTTAGCTATTTCCTTTCCAGTATCTCCTTGCCTATGGCACATTGTCTATCAACAAGAGGTAGGTACAAATTGTTCCTTTAACTGTTCAAATAGAGAAAGCCGTATAAAGGCCATGTTCCATTTACAGCTTTGATGCTGTGCAGCTGGGAAGAGTGTCTCTTGCTGGGGTGAGCCAATTGTCTTCCCAAAGATTAAAATTAAGAGTTTCCAACTCCAGATAAAGGTGGGATAGAGAAAACTAAAATATTACAAAATAAAGTCAAGCTTGATTGAGAAAGTTGCAAAGGTTGCGATATATTATTGACCGTGAAGCACAGTGGCAACATCAAGGTGGACAGAATAAACCCAGGATCTCTTTCTGTATGGCTTCCAAGCAAGGGTGAAGAAAACATGTGGTAACATATTTTATTTTCCCTGTTTGAGCAGGCTTTG